TGTTCCGACTAATCTCCGAAACGGCGGGATCGATTTCGACGGGACTTTCACTGGCAGATAGCTGATGCTCTAAGGAATAACTTAGGCTACTTATATTTTAGAAAAAGAATTAGGGTTCCGCGCAACATAATTAAAACCCTAAATTACACGCCAGCGAAGACGCAGGGTACAGATAGTGTGTCAATAAAATGGGTAAAATATTTATGGTTAACATTCCACTAATTACTGACACAGAAGCCGTGAATAAATTAGGGGTTAAATGATTATGAAAAAGTATAAAAATTTAAAAGTAAGTACCTTTTTTACTGACCAAATATATATTTATTTACTATCAAAGTTTTTAGTTTCATTATTACATTTCTGCCATCTCGAGGGAAAACCATGTATGCTCTTGCGTTAGAACTCTGGGGATCTAAACTTTACAAAGTCTTAAAAGACATTTTGAACCGCTTCCTGAGAATTTTGATTCCTTGCGGAAAATTGCCCTATTTTTTATAGGTTAGGGTGACAAACGAGCACACAATCCACCTGATGGTTAGTGGTTGCTGTGACCCATAGATACCTACAATTAACAATGAAGAATCAAAATACAGATGCTTTGTCTCCCGTGAGCACTAAGATGGAATGCCTCTATTCCAGTAAAAAGGGTCTCCGGTTCTCTATACTCATCATACAAAACAAACAAGTGTTAAGCTGCTATTTTACGCTGGTATTCTGTGAGAGTGTGGTCCTTCCAAATCGAGCCAACCCATTCATGCTACAACTATACTACTAATATAGCTGCAGCATGGCTCTACCACGTACTAAAAATTTGTATTCGCTATGGGCTAGATTAGGCGATTACGAAGTATGGTTTATATTTTCTAACTGCAAGTCTTACAGAACACAGCAATGCAAGCATTGCTATTTGGCGGTGGAAATTTATGTAATAAGTACCTTCACAAACTGGTCCCTAGGCAGTTTTGTTAAGTCAGTGCGCATCATCATCTTAGGCTACATCACCACTTACCATCAGGTGGGATCGTAGATAAGCGCTGGCTTAGTAGAATATAAAAAAAAAAGACAAGGTGCGCTCGTTTGTCGTATATACTTTCCAAAAGCAACACCAATATTGTGAACTGTCTCTGCTACGTTAGAACGACTTCAGAACTCGTATTCGGAAATTATTCCTACTTTGAAGTCTCCATGTTTAATTCAAATACTGAATGTTAAATAACAGAATTTCATACAATGTTTGAGTTAAAGATGTTATAATTTTTGTGTCCACAAAGTAAATTGGTTTTTTTTTGTTTAATTTTTACCGAAAGCACCACAAGCACCCTCTTGCTGTAATAATCCTGGCAGAAATCAACCAACAAATTCTCACACATGTGCGCGCACTCACGCAAGCACACACTCGCAAGCTAAAACACATTTTTTTTAATTTAACATAAACTTTTCAAATACACGAAGAAACCATCTCTTGACACTAAGGAGACCTTACTAGCTAGTGTGTAAGTTGTTGTGATTGTGGCAAAAAATATTTCTTTAAAAAAAATATAAGATCTATGCCTGGTAGCAACAGTAATACTTACAGTTTAGTTTCTTTATAGTTTTGCAGAGGTATAAACTTTTTTTATTTGTTATTGGTCTCAGATTTGCTTAATTACTTTGTGAAATGAAGCTTGATAGTATTTTTAAGCTATTTAGGATTTTGGTTGTAAGTCAAACACACATTATAGTACACAGTGTGCGGTTATCTGCTTTCCTTTGCTTATTCTCCAGATTTTTCCTGCAATAATCACAGATTTTGCAGCTTGCAGCGCTTGTTTTGATTGAATTATTGGTTATTAAAAGAGAATGAACATGGCCGATGTTTGGATTGAACCAGTATTCAATTTGGTAATATTTTATTCGACCTTGCATGAAAGTCGGCAGCAGAAAGCTGTGGCCATTTTGTATTTGGTCAACGAGCGGTTATCAGCTATGGTCTAACACTGCAGGGTTTGTCCCACTAAAATGAAATAATTTTTCTAACTTATGAATATCTCGTATTCGTAGGTTAGAAATATTATTATAAACTTGCTAAGTATTAACCTGATTATACCTTAATATATAACCTAATATATAACGTGATGATATCAATTGCTTTAGAATCCATAATAATGATGCAGCTATTACCACTAAGTGGAATTGTATTTTACTTCCAGGAATCCGCAGAATTATTTACAGTATCGATTAACTGTCATTAGTCACATTAGACAATTATCGTATAATTTTATAATGAAGGCCCGAATTCCGGCGATAAGAAGTATATACTTACAGCACAAAATTGCTTTACGTCCATGGCCTAGGGCTATAAAAATTCGTCAGTATCAAGTTGGCTAGCAGAGAATAAAATATCCATCATATTTCAGTTCATTCTAATATGACAATAAAGCAATTCTTCAAAATTCTTTTCGCAAATAACAGCATTGCTATTTGGCTATACAGGCTATATAGGCTCGAAAACAAACATTACTGTGAAGATTTACAATGCGCTCGAACGCTCAAGGTACTAAACTTAATTATAAACTAGATTTTGGGGACGAATGATGCTATTCATTTATTATAAAGAACTCAAAATTAGCTAGTTAGTTTAGCACGGTTACGCCAGACTAGCAAAATTACGCCTCGCATAATGCGACAAATCAACACGAATGTTACACAAGAAATATCGAGTATTTGTAATGGGTACCTATGTTTGTTTTATTGAATGCCGCGGTGATTGAAATGCTATTCTTGTGCGAGTATAAGGTTTCTCGGAAACGACTTTAACGATTTCAATGTAATTGTTTTCCCGGAAACGACTCTAAAACCATTTAGATGTTATGATTTGATTAAGATGTTATATTTACCTAACTGGCAATCCGTCCCGGTTTCGCACGGTCGATTTCTATATTCCGACAGTAAAGTAACTTTTAGTTTATTTTAGTTTAGTAAATAGCAGATTTTACTAAAAATTTTGCGGAAATTTCGATGTCAAAATGAACCTCGTGGCTGCCCGGTGAGGAAAGTTGTTGCTCTCAAACTGAGCCAGCGTCGGGTTTTGATATAAGTTTCAAAACATTATAAGATCATTAAGCCCACATCGAAGCTTGTATCATAATGTCCTCTAGACCGAATTTCGGTCACGGCGGCCAATCTCAACGGAGACTAGTCATCGGCGCAGGACAGGATTATAGTGCCCGAGTGTATGCGCAAGCACAGGTGCACTCTCTATTCCCTCATTCTCATAGTCCGATGGGAGGGTAAACCGACACGACCGGAGAGAGATTAGGCGCAGGACCAACGGCTTTACGTGCTTTCCGAGGCACGGGGGTCAGACACCGACAACTTCCTGACTCCGGGAAGCTACTGAGAATTTCTTGATGGAAAAACTCAATAACTGAATTTTTTGGCACGACCCGAGATTCGAACCCGGGACCTCATGATCAGCAGTCGCACTACTATAACCACTAGATCAACGAGGCAGTCATCAGCTTGTATCATATTACTGTACTGGCATAATAAGAAGGGCGTTTTGGGGGATGAGAAGTTGATTTTATACAATTGCAAGTGTTCATCACAGTGGTTAGATTCAGGTACCCAAGCCAAACGGCGCCCGAAACAAAAGATTCATCAGAAGAAGCATATGGTGATATTTACCATTTCGTGTCACAAGAGCAAAAGTCAAATCCGAAGCAGAACGCCTTTAAAGAATTCATTGATTCTCAACAGACTTCTATAGTAAGTTCATTAAGAAATTGCCTATAAAAAGGCAAGAATATTTTAATATTTATTTTAATATGTTACATCGAATATAATGATTATACTGATTGCAGTTTATTTTGTAAAAAAGTATGTGTGTGTACTTATTTACGCACGTAGGAAGTTATACTTCTTTAGCGTAACAAAACCAGAAAACTTGAGAGACAATTACCCACTGAAGTTTTCCCTTTAGGTGTCAGAGTGCGCGCGCATCGTAACATTTCATAGTGTCGTTTTTAAAGATCGGTGTGCGCGTGCATCATCAAAATTCACTGTCATCATTTTTCCCAAACGCCCCAAAAGAAGTATAACTTCAATATTTTTATCTTTCCATAAAAAATTACATTTTCATAGGCAAAAGACCTTATAATTATGTAGCTAAGTAAAAGTCAAGATCACCTCCTCACGAATGAACTTTAAAGATACCCATCATTTTTATTAAATAGTCAAAGTTACTATTATAATAACCCGAGTTTGCAGGCAGTATGATCTTGCTTTAAGTTATTTACACAATGAAATCGGAATGCTGACCAGATTCTCCAGCCAAGACCGTCTACTTTCTATGAAAATCTTTAACGCTTACTGGTATGATTTAATACTTTTAAATGAGAACATTGAAATAAGATACGAAAATAAGTCATAATAATGACGTGATACGATACCCGTAGGATAAGACCTCATAGTAATCCTATGACTATATTTTTTTCTCAACTCAACCGATTTGTATTCCTTATTCAGCCTAAAGCAAATATTTGATTTTATATTCTTAATTTATCCCTTGAGTATTCCTGACTCAACCGATTGCAAAAATCAAGACAAATATAATATATTATATATATAAACAAAATATCAAGACTTGTGTGTACGGCCTACTAAAATATCATAAGTGGGATATTATATTCTCATAATATATACATCAAAAATATAAATAAAAGACTCTATTAAATAATATAATAAAATAATTAAAAAGGATGTATTAAAATAATGCAATAAAGTGCTTATACTACAAATACTTAAAAAATTGAAATACATTTTTAGAACAATAAATAAAACTAACACGAACAATTATACCGTTTATTTAAAAATCCAGTGAAAATTATTATAACAAAATAATTATTAGCATAAAATTAAATTAAAATGTTCTGTGTACAAACGATGAACATTTTCTGTGATGTATCAATGAAATTTAATATCACATTTGAGAACCAGTTCTCAAGTAAACTCGGACAGTCTTAGTCTCTAGCATTAAGAAATTGTTCGAAGGACTCCTTGTATTGACCTGTGGGGTCTTCTTGCTTTACCAGCTCCTGCCACACTTCTGGCAGCTTAGTCTGGAATCCGATAACGACAGTCCTGACAAGCTCCCTCTGTTTCGGAGTGCATTTGCCGCAAGTGGTTCTTAAGGCCTCGGGAATTATTCCTGTGTAGTAATAATTATATTTAACAAAAGTATATCAAATATATTATGGAAATGTTTCAGTGGTTTGGATATAAGTATGAACGAGAAAATGATGATAAAGCAAATTTATGCTGCAGTGCCAGGGGCGACCACGGACAAGTTTATCGACCAAATTAACGATATATGAAGATTGACCAAATTAAAAGGATTCTTAATCGACGAGCTGCTTTTGCTTAGGTTTATGGAAATTCGTAGTCTTTGCCTTGACCGTGACAGGCGTATGAGTATATATATTGGAGACTACTTTTTGTCTAAATGTCGATCTCACCTGCACGCGTTTCATTAACAGGGGACCTGTTAAATAACAGGTGAAAAAGAAAAGAGAACCCAAATTTCACAGACAGGTGGTGGGCAGTATTACCTGGCATTGTGCAAGTAACAATTTAGTATTCACCAACCCTGAGTTACAATAGTTATAGTTAGAATACTCTTGGAAAGGCCTACACCAGCAGAAGACTTACAAAGCTGTTCTTGTAACGTGATGTTAAAAAGGACACAAAATTTTATTAAATAAAAACAAATAAGATTTCATTAAAAGTGGATTTTTTTTTTCATTTTGAATTAAAAAGCCGTGTTGTGGACGTGTAAGAGATTCCATCTCATCATTTTCCATGGAATCCGTAAGAAGCGACTTCAGGAACCGCCAGATAATAATTATAGTTAGTTATTAACGTGAAAAGAATCAAGGTGTGAGATGTCTGGTCTTACGATCGTCAATAAATCTGATAAGCGTGACGTATAAAACAGATTCTCCCTACAACGGGAGTCGCTCTTGTTCAGCAGTGGACTTTTACTGGATGTTGATCATAACCATGATGTTGGGCAACTACCCTATAATATAATGTGCACCCTTGCACTAGTCATTTACCGTTACAGCCTATTAAAGTCCACTACTGAACATAGGTCTCTCCCTAAATTTAAGGTGGTATTTACAATAGTTGCCACGCTTGGTAAGGTTGGTAAACGCAGTTTATTAGATTTAAAAACTAGAAGGTCATATCATCCATCATCCTCATAACTTTGTTCTGGGTGATACGGTTTTGATGATTCTTGTTTTATTTGAAAGCTAGTTCTTCTCATGTGATCCCATATAAATTTGATCAAGGTCTGATCAGTAGTTTTATAGTTATCCTTAATAATTTATAATGAAGTCAGTTGTACAAAATTTTTAATTTTACCACTTCATTTATTTTTAGTCGTTATCAGAAAGATGCTGTTTCCCATCTACTGATTTGTTTACCTCTGTCGCCTCTTACGACATACAGGGGATGATATGGGGTGGTGAATATTCTTACACCGCCACTACACTAGTCATTTAGTGGACCAAAATTGCAACCCTTACACTACATAAAAACAATATTTCATCATACAATTAACAGCATTGTTTATGGCTTGTTTATTTAAATCTCAAATGCCACCGTTTTGTTTTGAAATTCGAAGGAAGTAAGTGGAACATTTAAAATATGTCCTGAGAGATTACTACGAACTGGAAGCTTAATATATCTTTCTTGTTTTCCTCAATCGAAGTCAATTTTTTTATTGTAATAACGTGACAAAGCATACTCATTGTTTGTTTTCCTCAATCCAAAATCAAGTACGCTCCAATGATATAAAACAACGATATATTAAAGGATTAAGATGATTCAGATTTCTACAGACTTCAAAAAGGAGCTGGTACTCAATTCGACGTAATTTTTTTATGTGTGTTACCTCATAACTTTTTCTGGGTGAACCGATTTCGATGATTCTTTTTTTATTTGAAAGCTGGTTCCTCACATGTGGTCCCATATAATTTCAAGGTCTGACCAATAGTTTTTGAGTTCATATCATCCCATAAATGTCGTAAGAGGCGGCAAAGGGAAACAAGCCAGGAGGTGGGCAGCAGCGTCTTCCCGATAATAACTACATATAATTATAAATTAAAAATTTTGTACAGCTGACTTCACTATAAGTTATTAAGAATAACTCAAAAAATATTTATCTGGCCTTGATCAAATGCATATGGGACCACACGAGAAGTACTAGCTTTCAAATAAAAAAAGAATCATCGAAATGGCTTCACCCAGTAAGAAGTTATGAGGTAACACATATTTAAAAAAAACATTCAGTCGAATTGAGTACCGTCTCGTTTTTGGAAGTCGGCAGAAGAAGAGGTATATATTAGTAACGATATACGTCATTCTAGACTTATAAACAACATAATAAATCAATTTATTTTTATAATGTGTGTTAAGTTATTGAAATTTTTCCCTAAAATAAATCTCGTTAAATTATATATTTATTATTTCATATTTCTTATAACAAAACCCTTTTTCAACAATTAATTTATTTGGACTTTCCCATCACTCCCATTCTCCACCTCCTCTAAGGTACGTAAATATCTTCTATAATCTTTTCTAAACTTAGGCTTCTTCCATATTACGATGGATATCATTCATACATACAGATATACCTTAAAATATTTCGGACAGTTCGCCGAACCGCCACTCATGATGCATACTAACAATATAGACTAAAAGATTATCTCAATGCAAATATGCAAGTGCCAATATTTTGAGAAATAGCAATTACAAAATAAATTTTGACTTTCTTACTTTTGAAATCCTTTCCCTCGGGTGTGCATGGGCCCTTGCCTAAGAAGCAATTGCCATAGTTCTTCAACAATCTTATGTTTTCAACAAGTTCCTGAGCGTTAAAGTTATCGTATTCAGGGTTGTATGTATCAGCAGGTGCCCCAAGAGCCGCTGCGGCCAAAGTGCAAAGTAAAATTAAGGTCTTCATTCTGGAAAGTTAAATAATGCTAATAAGTTGCAGTAAATTTTTTTAATACTGTAAATAAGAAATCTTTACACAAGAAAATAATATTTGTATCGGTTGTTGAAAAGAAAAGAAAATAGAAAAAAAAACAATTAAAAACAAATGCCATAAATTTTATATTTCGCTAGTAACTGATTTTCCACGTGTTCGGCGGTGAAGGTAAACATCGTGAGAAAACCTGCATGTTTTAGGACATTTAGTACATGTAAAATCCACCAACACGCAATACATTAGCCATCAGACTAAATGAATTGATTAACAATTATTACATAATGGTGTAGTTAGCATGATCGATTTCCATGTCGGTAGGCAGTTTCATTGAATATACACGGCAGTCCCTACTAGTGATTGCCGTGTATGTTCAAACAATACTCGGTGTATTAATAATGCCTTAAGCGGATGAACCCAAAGGCCAAGTTGCCTTACCTGCTAGTGCACAACTTATCGCTTAATACGATAAGCATATATATGAATTACAAACAATGTCAGGAAACTTGCACAATCACAACACATCAGAACCAAAAAACAACATTTTCTGCTACAAATTATTGAATATTTAAACAAGCGAACACTTCTTAATATTATATTATATTTAATTATATTATTTACTAGCTTTTACGTCGTACAGCCACGCTGCAGCTATATTAAGCCTGCAGCGGGAATGTGTCGGCTCGACTGGAATAGGAGTAGAGAACAAGAGACCCTTTTACTGGCTACGAGGCATTCCATGTTAGTCCCCAGAGGTAACAACGTGTCTGCATTTTGATTCCTAATTGAGGTAGAATTTCCTACACGAGGTAAGAATATGGGAAAATGTTTAAAACAATAATTGTAGATCTAAGTAAAAAAAGATCCAACCACTTTCCGTTAACTCATAGTTTTGTCTTAAAATGGTGTTGAAGTAAAAAGGAAATATTGAAATTGATTTTGCGTCAAAATTAAGAAATAAAAGATAAGATATAAAAAACTATTATGTGAAAAATTCCAAATCAAAAAATGTTTCGTTCGATATTTTATTTTATATCTCCCATATTGGAGTTTACGGGATAATCATCAAGAACCAATTATTTTATCATTTTATAAAAACATGCAGGATTATTTCACAAATAATCCTGCATGTTTTTCTGATTAAATATAAACTAGACCGCTCTAAGCATTGCTCGAATAATTTAAGAGTAATGCTTAGAGCACACAGGCAGACCAGTCAGTCAAAAAGTACTAAACTGGTAATTCATGTCTTAATTATATCGAAATACCTCCCTGAGCTTAAAAAAAACAGTTAGTTTAATATTATTTGTGAAGATTATATTCTGCGCTAACTTTACACACTTGCAAAAAACATCGCAAAATTAAAATGTTTTACACCTGATTAATTTTTAGACAATATCTTTATAAATGTAAAAATATCACCTGTTAGTAAAGTAATTTATGTGAGTATATTATTTAGGTTATTGTTTAATATATATTTAAAAGTATTTCTTATATTATAAAAATATTTTCATAATTTTATGACACCTGTCACCTGCTTAAGTTTCTCTCCTTACTTAGTGGTTGACTGGTGGAGAATGCCTAAAGGCATTAAGCACTCTTTATGTGCACTAAAGATTTTAAATCAAATAAATAAAAATAATAATTTATAGCAACTTACGTGTTAAGCTTCTCAATGCACTGCGAATACTGTGCTAATTCTATCATTTCGGACCTTTATATATAGGACACACTGGAATCGGTTACCAACCGGAATGGAGTTATGCAAAACACTGCCAATATTGGTCCTAAAAACGCTGACGTCGTATAGACTTTTATAACAACAATAATAGAATTTACGTGAAGGTAACGTAAACTAGCACTTCATCTGAATATTTAGTCGTTCGTTAGATTTAGCTCGGACGTGATAATAGCACGTTTCAATAAAGCCTAAAATCCTTGTAAGCGGTTTTATAGACACTATTTCAATAGTTTGAGAATTTTTATACTAGATTTCAGTAAAATTTAATGGAAATTTATAGACCGTTTCGTAACTTCCAGTGCTTGTGGTGGATTTTAATTATATCCACCACAATGCCATCATCATTATCATTATCATCATAATTATCATCATTATCATCATCATTAACAACAACCAGTACCATAATTACCGTCCATCACAAGTCCAATGTTGAACATAGGCCTCCCCAAGATATGCCACAAAGCACGGTCCCGAGCCATCTGCATCCATTGACTCCCTGCATCTCTTGAGGGGTTGGCCTAAATTTCACTTATTTCGGCACAAAGCTGTCCTTCGATAACCTTTATTCCCAATTTTATGTCCTAGCTCATGTGGGGAAGTTTGCCATAGTTGCCATATTTGGCAGACGGGTTGGTAACTGCAGTTATTTTTATCAGGACTCTTCTGCAGCCCATCTTCTGGTTTGTTTCCCGCTGTCACCTCTTACGACATCTACGGATGGGGCACAGCATAATATTATATCAAGACCAATTACTCGTAATTATACTTAAAAGGATCCAGCATTGTTTTTACTATAGTTTTTTTTATATAGAAATCTTTACGTGGTAGAGCCATGCTGCAGCTATATTGTGGTTGCAGCATGAATGGGTCTGCTCGACCGGTGTAGGACTACGTTCCCATAGAATACCGGCGTAAAATAGCAGCTTAATGCTGCTGTGTTTCGTTTGGTGAGTGGTTCTCTACACTCACCATACGAAACACAGAGACTATTTTTTATTGGAAACAAGGCATTCCGTCTCAGTCGTCAGCGGTGACAACGCATCTGCATTTTGATTCTTAATTGAGAATAAATGTAGAAGTCTATGGGCCACAGCATCCACTTACCATCAAGTAGTCTATGTGCTCGTTTGTCACCCTTATTCTATATAAAAAAAACTGTTTTTATTATTTTTGTAATAAAAATTGTCCAAAAAAACAATGAAGGAAAATTTAAACAATGTATAAAGTTAAAACACACATTCGTTTCAAACATTAAGCATTATATTATTACAGTAAAGACCTTTTTTAAATATATGTCAATAATACTAAAAAAGGATAACAAAAATAAAAGGCGATTTTTTACCAATAACAAAGATTTACTTATTTTATTTTAATACACACTTTAACAATTTTCTTTTTATATAAAATACATTTTGTTAAGATTAATTTTCACATTTTATTTTTTGTATACCATCTATTTAAATTATACTACTTTTAGTTTGTTAATATGTAATAAGGAAGAGCACTGTGATCTGAAATACAGATATATATTTATCTAGTTCAGACACAGATGTTCCATCATTCTTTGTAAACTAAGTATAGACCATAGAATAGTTATTTATAAATGTGATAGTTATCTATGTGGTGAAAATAAACTATTATTATTATTATTACTTATGTACTGATTAAAAGTTTATTTATGTATTTTATTACAATTTTGTGTTTGTGATATCATACGCGCAAACATGACGTATCGTATATATACTATACTTTATTATGTAAAAATAAATATCTGTTGTGTTTTAGATAGATTCTTAAAGTTTAGATAACATAAACATAAACACTCACGCCTGTCACCCAGAGGGGTAGGCAGAGACTACGGACTTTTATTTGGCATGATCCTGACACATGGTCTCATGATTCTGTACCAACCAATCAACTAAATGAATAAAAGTGTCATCTACATTTTTGAAGAATGCAAACACTTTTTATCCGCCAGCGCCATTGTAGTAGAATATCAATCTATGTTTTAAAATGAACCTATATCTACTTCATTTGCATTGATTCAATCGAAAGAAAAAAGTTCTTTAGTTATAAACCTTAAATGATTACTTTTTATATGTATGTTAAAAAGAAAAAGCAAAAATATATCCTATATACATCCCACGGCTGGGCACAAGACTTCTCCTATTTCATAGAGTGTCATAGAACAAAATGGCCGTCCCGCTGCCCCAGATCTTTAAGATTAATAAGAAGTTATTATATATTAGTAGTATAGTTGTAGCGCGAATGGGTCAGCTCGACTGAGGAAGGACCACACTCTCACCGAATACCAGCGTAAAATAGCACCTCAACAACAACTGCTTAGCTCTGTTATGTTTCGTATGGTGAGTGTAAAGAACCGGAGAACCTTTTTACTCGAAACGAGGCATTTCATCTTAGTCCTCATCTAGTGACAACGCATTTGCATTTTAATTTGTAACCGAGGATAGATGAAGATGTCTATGGACCACGTTAACCACTTACCATCAGGTGGATTTTGAGATCGTTAATATGTATATATATAATGTATTATTCATGGTTAGATTATTAATTTTAAATTACCATTTAGAAATTACCAATTTAGTCATCTGTTACAACATTATAAAGGTTTTTTTAATATATTAATATTCTAAGAAGTTATTAATGAAAATATCATCAAATTTAACAATATTTGGGTATATCGATTCTGTAATTTGACTAAAGGTGGGAAATAAGGTACACCACGCGAAATATTCTTTTATTTCCTTTATCAATGAACCTTAATATAATTATATACTATGTACTTGGATAACAGTGATGTCGTTCTATTATATTCTCTTACATGTTCCTTTCGTCACCCTTAGGACAGGATAGTGCCTTTGCTTTTAGGTATTATACTTGTGACACTATGATATACCTGCTTAGTTAATTCCATCAATTTATTTATATTCCCGAGAAGACAACGCATCTGTAGTTTTCTTTGTTTGAAGTATCCTCTCGGTATATTTACGAATATTTAAATACATATGTGCACAAAAACTAAAGTACTTTAAATAAAAAAAAGTTATGTACACTCTGTAAGGACCAGGAACAAACACAACTAGTAAGTAATATACCAGTTTCTCGACTCGACAATGTCTCTCTCTACTACCTTATTTAAATATTTTTCATACAGAAACTATATAAAATGGGCTATCGAAATACAAATAGTTTGTGCAACCTGTGTTCTGATTGTATAATTTTACTGCTAGGTTTCATGCTGGTTCTTCACAGGACAGAGATTTTTCCGAACCTGTGGTAAAGTAAAAAAAAATGGCTTTCGACAAATATCAATTGTAAGCTATATTGAATAAAAATTATTCTAGCTATTTTCAATCAATGTTCGGTTTTATGGAGTGTGGCTACTCGTCAGGATAACGCTCACACAATACTGGCGTATGAACTCGGCCTGGTGCTGTGGTAAGTGACACGAACACGTACTACTACTTTACTGGTAACGACGCATTCTATCTTAAGGTGTGACCACACCAATCGATCAACGTCGATCGATAACTGAACAACGTTATTTCGACCAATTACAATCGATCAACATCGATGCATGTCGATCAATGGCATCGATGCATGTCGATAAATGGCATCGATCGGCGATCGATCGATTGGTGTGGTAATACCCTAAGTTCTCAGGGATGACACAGCATCGACATTTTGATTTTAAATTGAGACTTAAGTGTCTATCACCCGTAGTATCCATTTACCAGCAGGTGGTCTGTGTGCTCGTTTCTCGCCTTTATTTCTATAAAAAGGAGGTTGTTAGTTTATTTTGTCACTTCACAGGGAAGTTGAGGTATGTTTTAAAATACTTGCACTCTGAGGAATAAAAATATTATGTCTAAGCCATGTGAAGTCCATCAACACCTCAGAATACAGAAAAAGCTTACACACACTGTGGACTGCGGACTATTGTTCCATATTCCAGTGGTAAATAAAACAAAAGAGTGCCTTTCAATAAGAATTATTTATAATCTATATTAAATAAAAAACTTTCTGATTCTGCTTCATAAACCTATCGGCAATGAAATACGGCCTGTACCCAGCAGTGCGATGGTAAATACTCTTAGTTTTACTTCTTTTTTTTATAGAAGAATGCGGCTCACCTGATGGTAAGTGACTACCGCCGCCCATGAACAACTGCAACACCAGGGGAACCAGGGGAATTGCAGATGCGTTGCCGGCCTTTTAAAAAGGAGCAGACTCTTTTTTTGAAGGTCCCTAAGTCGTATCGGTCCGGAAAAATCGCTGATGGTAATCGATTCCACAAGGAAGTCGTGCGAGAAAGAAAACATCTTCTAAATTGCACAGTGATGAACCGGCAATCATCCAGATGGTGTGGTTTGTATCGGGAGTTCTGCTGCGATGCGCGTTCGTGAAATTTGGCGTCTGGGATTAATCCGAACAATTCCTTAGAGCACTCCCCGTGGTAAAAGCGAAAGAAAAAGCAAAGGGACCAACATCTCTTCGCAGTGCCAATGAATCGAGCCGATCGGAAAGGACTCGGTCGTCGACGATTCGAGCCGCTCTGCGCTGGATGCGATCAAGTGGAAGGAGCTGGCACTGGGGAGCCCCTGCCCAGAGATGGGAACAGTATTCCATGTGAGGCCGAACCTGCGCCTTATAAAGTTGCAGGCGGTGTGCCGGCATGAAATACTGTCCCGCTCTGCTGAGCACGCCAAGCTTTTAGACGCCAATTTGGCCTTCTCTTCCAAGTGAACACGAAACTGCACGTCAAGCACGCCAAGCTTTTTAAACGCCAATTTGGCCTTCTCTTCCAAGTGAACACGAAACTGCACGTCACTCGATATGTCGACGCTAAGGATTCCGATACTGGCTTACGCAACAAGGGGAGTGCCTTGAAACTGAGGAGATACGACAAAGGGGTTCTTTTTAGCGGTAAACGCGCAAACTTGTG